GAGTAATCACTCGGAAGAAGAATCAACTTGGGAACGAGAAGATGAATTGAAGTCAGCTCATCCGCACCTGTTCGCCAGTTCTTCCGAATCTCGAGGACGAGATTCTGTTTAAGGGGGGTAGGTTTGTCACACCCTGAAAATTCAAAATATATAAATTGTTGTTTAATTGGAATTTTTAGAAATAATTTTAAAAGTCTTGAAAAGAAAATCTAATTTTAATTAATAAATTCCAATATAAAATGGGGCCAGATAAAATTTCATTAAATACTTTGCTTAATTCTATAATTCCTAGATTTTTCTGGGATTTATTTGAGCTAAGGAAGTATTTTTAATAAATGGAATTGCATTTAAGGAATAATTTAAATTGAAAAAGGTTTTAAAAAGTCTCTTTTGACTTTGGGCCGAAAGTCGGCCCAAAACCGCTCTCTCTCTCCTCGGCCCAGTTCGGCCCAGTCCGCAGCCGCGCGCGCGCGTTCGGTCGCTGACAGGTGGGTCCCACCTGTCGGACCCATCGTCTACCTTCGGCCGCCGCCGCCCGAAACCCTAGCGCGCCGCCGCCGCCGTTCCTTTCCAAATCCGGCCGTTCCTTTCCTTCTCCGGCCGAATTGTTTGAGGGGAAACAATCTCCGGGATCTCCTCTATCTTTTCTCCTTTGGAATCTTTGGCTAAATCGTTTTGGAAGTTCGTGGAATCGAGTTCGTTTCGGATCGGTTTCCCTCTCTCCAAGCCGAGCTTTCCTTCGCCGTTGCCGCCGCCTTGGGCCTTCGCCGCCGCCTCTGAGCCCCTTTAAAAGGACCCCCGGTGTCTCCTCTACCCGCCGCCACCCTCGCCTTCGCCTCTCGTCGCCGGAAGAGCTCTAGCGCCGTGCAACCTAGTGCCGCCGTCACCGCCGTCGCTCCAGCCGTGCTCCGCCGCCGTTCCAGACGTCGCCGTCGCTCGGGAAGACCGTCGTCGTGGTCGCCAAGTCGTCGCCGTCCTCGTCCGCCCCTTCGCCGTCGCTATAGTTCGCCGTGCCGTCCGCTACCCGTTGGTGCCTTCCGTTCGCGCCGCCGTGCCGTCGTTCGCCAGCGAGCATGCAAGCCCGAGCCGCCGAGCCGCCGCCGCCGGTGGTGACGTCGCCGCTGACGTCATCGGGACCATCCGCCGTGAGCCGGTCGTGGACCGTTCGATCTCGGCCGTCCGTTTTGGATGAGTCGATCTCGGCCGTCCGTTCGCGTGAACCGCTGCCCGTGCGCCCGGTCCACCAAACCCTAGCCCGCTGACGCAATAATCCTTCTTTTCCTTTTCAAAAATAATTCATTATTGCGTCATAATTCAATTTAAACCGATATAAGTGTTTTAATCCGATTTAATCTTTAAAAATTCATAACTAATTCATCTTAGCTCCGATTTAGTTGGTTCAAGTCTCTAAATTTTTCTAAAATTGAGATCTACACATTAAAAATATCCACATGTACTGTTCATGCTTGTTTATGTGCTGTTTTGGTGATTTTGCTCTTTTCTGCTTAGATTCCGTCGTTTCCGGAGAGTCCGCTTTCGCAGAAGAAGAGTTTGAAGAGTTCCAAGGCCAGCAAGGCAAGTCACACAGATCCTAAACACAATCCTTTGAGCATGTTGATCCTATATTTAAATTCTCTATTTATTTCAACTGTGCATTTATTTTCGAATGTCACTGGGTGGTGTGAATCTATTCCTTTGTTATGGCCTGTTTGCATTGATTACTTTAATCCTTGATACCTTGGGTTATTATAATTTGACTAGTTGAGCTTTATATATTGGTTCAGCTAGATATTAGATGTGATTGCTTAGCCATGCTTAGAAACATTAGCACACTATTGGGATAACTTATGATTCATTATTATTTAATGATGGTTTAATGATAGTTCACGATGGTTAATCGTGATTGGTTAATTAATTACTTGCCAACTAAAACTTGATAATGGTGGGTTGTGAGCACATGGTTTTGAGAGTCGTGCTAATGACAATTAAGGACCGGTTCGCGAGCTACTATTGTGAAACATTAACCGTGCCAACCACAAGCCAGCGTGGGCAACGGCTTTACCTTTTGTATAGCATGATTCATTGCGGAGCACCAGACTGAGAAGTGGCGGAGATAAGCCCACGGGGGTCGCTGGGGAGTCCATGCCTCTGGTTTTTGAGGGGGTGATTATGATCCAGGAATGGTGCACTGTGGTGAGTTGTGTTATGCAGAGGGTATTGTCACAGCCTCTATTCGGGTACTTTCCAGTATCGCGACGCATGGTAGACATGATGTTGAGGCTGTATCTTGTGGGTACAGTGGTACACCTCTGGCCAGAGTAAAACTATTCGAATAGCCGTGCCCGTGGTTATGGGCGAGTTGAGCAATGTTTTTCGTGATTAGTCCCACACCTCTCACCATAACTATGGATGTTATACTGGGTAATAATTTGCTTAGCTCCTGGTTTGGAGTTAGATCTGTTCAGCCGGGTATGGTTGTTCAGAATGGTTGGGCCTGTGCAGCATGGGTGTGCTGTTCAGTGTTGATTAAAATTTCTGATTAATTACTCCACTGTTTTACTTCTCTTAAATGTTTTGCTAAATGCTGCTTTTGCAAATGAGCCTATATTATGCCATCCTTTGGTATCCTTGTGCACTTGCATATTTGCTGTGTGGCTTGTTGAGTATGTCATATGCTCACCTTGCAATAATCAATCAACCTCAGTTGAAGAAAAAGGATCCAGAAGGAGAAGACGTTTGGCTTATACCCCAGTTGAGCTGCCTGTGGGAGTGGAGCCGGAGCTTCGCTAGATTTTATTTTCCGCTGCAGTTTTCTTCATGATGAGGACTAAGTGCCTCATAAGTAAGTATTTATCGTTTTAGTTAATTTGATGAATCTGTATATTAAATTGTCAGTTTGTGTACCTCGGCTGATTCCTGGACGAGGATTTTATGCACAAATAAGTTCGGAAATTACTAGTGAATTTCCGGGCGTGACATTGGTGCACTTTATAAACACAAAGAGAAGCAATAAAGTTGTCATCTACTTTGAGAGTTCTTCGATTTGTGTTTCTTCGGGTTCGGCGGTCTAACCGGCGACATACCGGCGGTCAGACCGACGGCAAGGCGGCGGTCAGACCGGCGGCGTAAGGGCGGTCGGACCGGCGGTGGCTTCAGACGGCAGCAGGCAATCTCGGCGGGTTGACCGATCGATCTATATTAGTCAAACCGACGTTCATCAGGCGGTCAGACCAGCACAACACCTTCGGTCAGACCGCGATCCATCGAATTTGAGGGTAACATTTATTTCCGCTAAAAGTTTTGGTTTTTGGGTATATCAACCATTCACCCCCCTGGTAGGCTTAGTTACTTGTGTTCGATCCTACATAATTAATTAGAGATGAATCCCCTGTGTGTCACACTCCCTGCTTATCATATTTGTCCTAACCCTTGTTTAGATTATGGTGAGTTAATTATAGATTGATTAGTGATGTATAAACTATATCCTTACACCTCTGCATTCTCCGCGGAAATATAAATACGAAACCCTTGGGAATACTGATAGGGGAAGTGCTACAAATGTATCCGTGCGCTTGTAGATTTATCTGTGAACGTAAGAAATACCAATAGTAACTACGCCATCCTCCTTGAACATGTGCGTAGATTGCGAAATGAATTATTTGCAACTAAAATACATGCTAATTTCAAAATGTGTACCTAAAAGTTGATTAAGACTTTCCTTGATGTAGTATGGTTGTTATAATCATGCTTTTAGATAATTTCATGTTGCATGCTTATATATTCTTGTAATGTGGAAATGGTTGGGAAAAGGTGATAAATACTCAGGGTTTGAGTGATTCTTGATGTGCATGTAGAGACATGCGTGGCACTCCGCATCCTAAAACCTTTTGCAATATCCAAAAGCATAATAAAACAAATTGATTTCAATAGACTGGCATGGTTTGAATTTGGGTGGCTCAATGAAAAGGTTAGCACCGACCCTAGTCAACTAAGGACTGAGTAAAGAAGGGAGGCAAAAAAACACATAGGGTGTGTTTGGATAATGTATTACGAGAGGTGGGATTGGGAAATGGAAATGAATGGAGGGATAGAATGAAATGGAGCGAGAAGAATTGATGGCTAGGATTGAAACTTACCTTTTGAGGGGTGGGAAATCATATCCCAAACACATTATCCAAACATGGCCATAGAGTACAACCAGATCAGTCAAATGGGTATAGACCTAAAGTTAGGTGACCCGAGTTGGGTGACACCCCGGTCATGGTTGTGTCAAAATGTTGTGGTGATTAATGACATCAAACCAAACATGCACCCTAAGTGTTGTAACCAAAGAAGACATGCTAGGGACCAAGGTTCCCCAGTTGCTACCCATGCAGTAGAGACAGACCATAGCCTGCTATCCTATATATAAGTTTTGGTATTTGGTATCCAATAGGACAACCATTGTAATATTAAGGTATTGTAAGACCTTCATAACGCTACAGACAATGTCGTATACAATGTCATATACAGTTATGTCATGTCTGTTACTGATACAGAGAATTGTATTGTAAACACATCTCATATTTCCACATTCAAAACCAGGGCCGACAGCATATATCACTTCTCTATATTAGGCTACTCAATTTGCACAGATTGAAAACAAATCTGGAACAACAAGTATCAATCCAATAGCCTAAGGTAATTCTAATGATGTGGCTTTGCACGAGAGTTGAGAGAATTAGTAGTAGTTGTTGTTAGGGCGGATCAACTATTTAGATATATGCAGGATAGTTCCTCAAACTAGCTGATTTCAAGTTGAATTTAGAATTTTTGAAGAGCTCGGCATGTAAACTATACATTTTTAATATGCAAAATTACCAATATCAGACATCATAAATGAATGTGAAAGCATTTTAACAAGTATGATCAATTTGCGGCCTAACACCAATGGGCATGAAATATACTTTATCAAAGATATAAGGACCTATGTATTCCACATATTACTTTAGCACGTAATATCAAATAATTAATGGTGCACTTCACAAGCTAAACTTCTTATAACTTAATTAACACACGTATATATAATTGTCCAGGTCATATATCATGTATTTAACACAATACAACAAGCATGGTATTGATTGGACCCTGCAAATACTACTCATAAATAGCAAATTTATTCCAACCTACTACACATATAATATATATTATATGAAGGCCTTCATCTCATCTTGGAACTCCTTGATACACTTGTTCTCCACACACTGTGTCATAATCCGGGTCCCTTTCTTTGGCATTGGTGGAGCACCAAGCACTGCGACTGCCATGTAGTCTGCATAAGTGAATGGTATGATGTGATTAGGTGTACCCCACCCATAGTCTACCTCGAAGAATCCTAACCTCGTCCAATCAGACACAAAAAGCACATTGTGTTCAAATGTCAATGCGTAGGGATCAACTTTCACATCCCCTGAAGCCCACTTTGCAAACTCCATGGGGAGCCTCGCCTTTCCATCCCGAATTATCTTGATCACATCAAGCAACTCTTTGGTGGCAACATCCTCAGCTATTGCTGTCACAGTCACTGGATAAAAGCAGTTGCCATAGTAGCCCCCATCTTTTGGGAGAACCTGCGTGAGCAGGTGACGCGTGTTTGCAAAGAAACACACATGGACCTGGATCTCCGGTTTGTACCCGACGGCCCGTGTCCTGGCCTGCCAAACCTTAGCAGTAGCAACATCAAAGGTGGAACAATACTGGCCAAAGGTCTGGAAGTACTCAGCCTTCACGTGAGCTATACGGTCAGAGGTGACATCTGTGGAGAAATGCTGAAAACCAAAGGACTGGAACGATGGTGGTGGCCCAGGAGGGAGCTTAGGTGGGTTCGGTATCAGCGAGCGATCCCACACGGGAGCCACCCTGAGCTTGTCCATGCCACGGGCCAATTCAGCTACTGCAGTGATGAATTGTGCTGCTCCAAGTCCATCAGCAAGGGTGTGGACTGCCACAAGGCCCAAGATAAATCCTCCACAAGTGAATTCAGTCACCTGGTATATATATTGTTAACATTAATTAGCTCGACTTCAGACATTAGTCATGTAAGGTACCGTAAAAGTTCATAATAAGGTAAAATTTGGAAATAAATTTTATATAGTATAACAAACAAATTAAATATTAGGATGATGAGGCTACAGAAAAGTAATACATCCATCCCAAAATAAACTAACATATGATATATGATGGAAAATTACCTATTACATCAATCTAGATATGTAGGTTGGTTTATTTTAATACGGAGGAAATAATCAACAAGCATGCTTGAAGACGTTGAACAACTCTCAACACGTTGGACGCGACATGGATTAGATAGATATGCATTTGTTGTGTGGAACGAATTTGATTAAGGGAGCTAGCTAGAACAGTCACAACTAGAACACTAGCTACCTAAAGCGATGTGTTGTGGAAGACTGGTCTTCCAGTGGTTGGAAATTAATTAATTAACATGCGGCGTTGGCTCGTACTCCGTATTTAGTTTCTCCACCCCACTGTCATGACAAGTACACATGCACTTTGGAATAATTTTCTCAATCCAAAGATTTTGTCTAATACGTCATATATATGTGTGTGGATAGTTAGCTTGAAATTTATCATAGTTTATTAGGTCCATGATTTTAGCTCAACCACCTTTTTTTTCCCTGGGTCTTGTTGCTATCATGAATACATGGAGGGATTAGAAAACATCCAATCTCAAGAAACAATTAATTTAAATCATGTTCTAGTTGACTAAAGCACCTCAATCCTGACTCCTGCTCAATGTCATGCGGTCATGCCAGTTTGCCACAGCCCATCCGTTAATTAAGAGATATGATTAATGCAAGTTCGTATACTATATATACCGAGTTAAAGCAACAAATCATTGAAGACAGACAAATTCTTGACCGGGCCGGGGTAACAATTATTGGATACGAATTAATTTTACACCCAAAGTAGAATGAAAATCTTGCCAATCCAATAATAAAACACACCCTCACGCAGCGTATGCACGACGACATACATAGAGCTTTCAACTCTCTATTGCCTTTTTAATTTATAGTCAGAGCGAAAAAACAAGAATGAATATTTTGTTATCTTGACGACGTGAGGATTGATCCTTCTGAAAACACACGCACAACCACGATAATTTAGGGCTCGGGTCTGAAAATCGATCGACACTTAAAGTCACTTTCACATGCATTTGGTTTGAAAAATCTACTGACTATTCTGCAAAATTAAGGTGGAAAATATTTAACTAGTTAATTCGTGGTCCTTTTCACCGTTCATGATAGCCTCCTATGGAAGACAAAATTTGTAGCTATGTCAAACGTCTAGATTACTCTGACCAGTTTTTTTTCCCTCAGAGATGCAAGTGGCACTCCATGCCAAAGAAAACCATGGCATATGCACTACAATGCTTAGAAGGGGGCCTCCACAATTACTTAATTGAACTTGAGGATAAAGATGTATGATTAGACAATAGCAATGACTTCGATCATGCGCTGAATCTCCGGAAAAATATATATCGTCAGTCACACGTACAACCGCGAAGATTCCTATTGAGTTTACCTACCGAGATCAGCGATGGTTTTGTTCTATCTTCACAGTTCTTCACACAAAAAACAAAGTGTACATCCTGTTGTTGACTGCGCGGTAGTATTCTTCCTTTATCTAAAACCGATGCACCCCAAATGCATTTTGTCCTGACGGATTTGGTTGTTAGTGACGGCCGGGCATACGAGCACTGACAAGAAATGAAAATTTTCCTGGCGTATTCTATCCGTCAAGAAAAAGAATGGTTTTGAGGTAGATATATATATGTCTGTTGAAAAACGCAAACCGAGCTTCTATATAAGCATCTGTCCTTTTTAAGATGATGTTTATCGACATCAACGTATATGCAGCCTTCAATATTCTTTGATTATTATTATTATTATTATTATTATTATTATTATTATTATTATTATTATTATTATTATTATTATTATTATTATTATTATTATTATTATTATTATTATTATTATTATTATTATTATTATTATTCCATTCATATCTTCTGAAAATAATTTAAAACATATAATTATTTAAACATTTTTATGATAAATTTACTAATGCATTTTCACATATCACGTCTTAATAATCTTTTTAATTTGTAGTGAGTTAACACTTCTACTTTTGGCTAGCTTTAAATTATACATTCAATATACTGTATCATTTATTTAATTAAGCACAGAAGGAGAGATGTTCTTTTTAATTGCCTGATTTTTGTTAGATGTGCAATGGTGTCCATATATTTCAATAAGTTTCAAGGTTGGCATAAAGCCTGTAATTATATATATGGATAATAGTTTAGATGAGTGTGCTCTGACAACTGACAAGCTCCCGCCAACTAACAACGTGCATGTCACGTCATCACCCAAGAAATATTCAACGTAACTGCCAAAGAGGCAAAGATCATGTGTATAAAAGTTAACACTATAACAAAAACATCATGTAGAGGCAATTTTTAAAACGCCTTTAAAATCAGGAGTTCTAAAATGGATTGACACATTTTAAGGCACTTTAAATATTACCTAGAACACTTTTAGTTATAGACACTTTTAGCACAATTTATTAAATTTATATTGTAGAGGTACTTTTTTTCACTTTAAAATTTGCCTGATATGTAAAGGTATTTTCTTGAGACATTTCAATCTTTATATCTCTACAGAGGCACTTAATCTAAGGTAATTAACTAGATAAAAGTAACACGGGGCATATATGTATATGACATGAGGTTGAGATGGTTAGACCATTTTAGGGTTTAGGGTTAGACCATTCAAGTTGAAAATTATATATCCAAGTGATCTAGAGTTCAAGGATTGGCAATTGCAAGGGAAGTGATAGTTTTTTTTTCTTTTTTAGTTCGTTTGCTATGGTTGTGATAGATTTTAATGCTTCTAATGCCTATACTATCTTATAGACATAAAAAAGTACCTCTATGAGCATATACTCTCTTACAGAGATAAAAAAAAGTGCCTCTATTAAGGCATAGAGACATTTTGTAAAGTGTCTCTTCATTTACAGAGACAATTCACTATAAGGCATTTTTAAAAATGCCTATAGAGTATTCAAGAGACATTTAAAAAGTGGCTCTATAGTATTAGAAAAATGTCTCTACAAGACATTTTTGTTGTAGTATAAGGTTAATTAATGCACTATCCCTTACTGTTATGTGTTGTGCAACAAACACATTAGTAGGTTCAGCTGTTCTGGATATACCTTCAATTCATTAATTGGTTGTTATATATTCTTATTAAGATCATAATATTTTATTTCATATTTGTAAGGATCCACGTCAAGTATATTTTTTCAATTTCAAGTTAAATATCTTAGTTTCACCCAAACTTTTGCTAGAAATTAAACGACATTGCTACTTTGTAGTTTTAGCTATGAAGTGCAACTATGAATTGTTAGAAAAATAACTCATGTTTATTTTTCATGATAAGAATGCATCACTAGATTAAATTTGTGTATTTCATACATTCATTTATATTTCCCATAAATCTTTAATTACAACTATAGATGGAAAACTAATGATGTAATTATGTAGACTCACAAAACACTACCGTAACTAAAACTAACAGGGAGGAATGGTATAGGTTATTAAATCCACATTGAATATAATATTAGATAATACTTTGGACACAGTATAGTGGTAGATAATCTAACAGTTTGACCACATGCAAGTAGAAAAACAGTATGCATAAACCATCAAAAAGTTTCCATCAAGTTTTATTTATCACAGTGAAAGTATCACGTACTATAATTAACACATGACGAGAAAATCATGATGCGTACGTTTGTGCAAGAATGAAAACTGTAAATACATAAACCGAGTATTTCCAATCATTAGCTACTAGCTTAAACTTTTCTTTTTTCAGCAATATATAGTTGAAAATTTGTTTGAAGGCAACGTTTTCAGGTTAATCAAGAAGAGAATGACATGTGTATACCTGCATCATGACTGGAATACTGGTAGGGTCGACGCCGTCCTCGGGGGCAGGCAGCAGCTCCTCCTCGGAGATCATGAGCGGGTACTCGAGGCCGTTCACGTCGTCGAGGCTGCAGTCCGCGGCTGCCTCCACGAACCACGCGCCCTCGCCGGTGCACGCGACGCAGGCGTCGCCGGCCAGCAGGGAGCCGACGAATCGGCCGGCGAACGCCGGGTAGTCCGCCAGCGCCCGGGCGAGCGCCGCGCGGATCACGGCGGCCGGCCTCCTGCTATCACCGTCGACGACGGGCCCGCTGTTCTTGTGGCGGCGGAACACGTGCAGGGACCGCACGTTGTGGCGCAGCCCGGGCACGCGGTCGATGGACGACAGCTCGAGCGTCGTCGTGATCTCGGCCGGCGGCGTCGGAGGAGACGGCCCGACGAAGTTCCGGGACTTCCTCATCACGGTGACAGCGACCATGGCGACTACGTGCGGTGAGAGAGGTGCAAAGTGTACGTCCGTGTCTGTGTTGTGTGCGCGGGTGTAGGTGCGCACCAGTTTGGGCGTTGTGCGTGTGTGTGTGGCTTTGAGCGCACAAGTGAAGGGTATTTATAAAAGGGGAAGAGACCAACATTGTCGAAATCTCGATTCGACATTAAGCTAGCTATTTGATTATTATACAATTCTATATCACTGGTGGAGAACCCATCTTTACTCCTGATTTACAACCCCTTTAGCCCTGTATTACAAACCGAACTACAAATCTAGGACTAAAGATGTCTCGGTTGAAATAACTAGGACTAAAGATCACCAACCGGGACTAAGTCTTTAGTACCGGTTGGTGTTAATAACCGGGACTAAGTTTTTTTTTCGTTTTTTTTTTTGCTATTTTGCATATCTCGTGCCCGATATCCCAGCAACGAAATATCATATCCCAACATCCCAATCATCCACAACAACATAATCATCTCAAATCATACACAACAGCATAATTCCAAATCATCCACAACAACATAATCATCTCAAATCATCCACAACAACATAATCATTCTCAAATCACATGTCAAATAAACAAATTATCCTCAACAAACAATCATTCACAAATTAAGAGGGAAAAAAGAAAAAAAATCCCCACGCCCGCCCTCCGCGCCGGCCGCTCCTCGTGCGACAGCCCGGCAGGCCGCCGCCGTCTTCCACCACCAGGCGCGGCCCCCTCCGCGCCGGCTGCTGCCTGCGACATAGAGGGAGAGGGGAAGGGAAGGAGGAGAAGCAGGGAGAGGGGAAGGGGAGAGAAGGATGGAGAGGGGAAGAGAAGGACGGAGGAGGGAGGATGAGGAGAGGAGGAGGCGCGCGGCTTGGGGTAACCGCGATTTTTTTAATCTTGGTCCCGAACAACCGGGACTAGATATAGAATACCAACCGGGACTAAAGATAATCGAGTACCATATGTTTGTGAATTGGAACTAAAAATGATCTTTACAAGTCCCGTGGTAGTTTTAAACCGGGACAAAAAAGAGAAATTGGGACAAATGTGGTTTTTGGCCAACCCAGCAAAAATCAGTTCTCCAGTAATGTATCTCTTATGCTATTATAAAAATTAAAGATGTTTCCGCTGGAATTTTGATATATCATTCGTGTTTGGGTTGGTTTTCTAATTTTTACGTTATCGATATGTGAGTTGGTTTTCTAATCCGTCAAATCCTTGGTATACCGAGCATCACCATCACGTCAGCCGCAGTCCACTTCACACATGCATGCAGCTTTTTTTGTCCAAGATGCACGCGCCCAAGTCATTTTTCATGTGCCCCTTCCGCGCACCACGATTGGGCCGTGACGCCCTCGCGTGCAATTTGTATCCCTTGCCGTGCGGCCGATTGGGTTCGTGATTGCGTAAAATCATATGTGATTCTCTATGCACACTTTTTACACATCGTCACGATTTATGTTTCCCTTTTCTTATATACATACTAAACAGCAAGTGTAACCATTTTGTCTCAATTGGGAAACCGAAAACACTTAAAGTGACTAAAACTCTTCAAATGCAGTCGAAATTGATGTATGTGCCATAGAAAAACATCAAAAGATTGATAATTTTGTTTATTATGTGAAATAATCGGCTTATAAGGCTAGAAATTCAGTTTTTTTTAATCTCTAACAAAACCCCATCCCCTCTCGCTCTAGCCCTAGCCAAGTTGCTGTAGAATAACCGCTCTATTTCTCCTTCCACGTTGCCATCTTACTTGGTTTTTTGCTGATCATGCGCTCTCTCTATATATACTCAACTTTTTCGTATTTTCTTCCCATTACAACGCATGGGCACTTTAGCTAGTTAGTACAAAATCTACGATTTTATAATTTTGTGTCCGATTCCATGATTATAGTTATACTTAGAACTTCCAATTAATTCTAGTTTTAGAATATGAATTTTACAGGTGGGGCCTATTTTTAACATGCACTGCTCTTGGAGACCCGCTTGAGAAAATAGGTGAAGAATATAAATACTCATCTCTTAATGTAAATACTCGTTTTCTACCCTCCTTTCCCTCTTTCCCATCGCCTCCTTTTCTCGGCACCCCTCTCCCCTTCCATCACCTCTCCCCCTTCCCGGCGCACCGCAGGTTTTCTGGGTAGTAGGGGCGGTCGTTTTAGGTTGTGAGGATGGAGGCGGCAAGCTTCGAGCTACTACTTCGGGTGGTGTAGGCGGATGCTCATCAGGCTTCAGGTGGCGGAGCGGTGTATCTGGCGTTGGAAGCTCGGCGACGCAGATCCGACATGGGGGAGCACGATAACGATGGATTCTATGATGCGGATCTGACATGGGGAGCACGATAACGATGGATCCTATGACGGGAAGAGGGGAGCCCGTGATGGCAAAGCTTTCTAGAATATTTTTTTTTAGAATTTTTTTTGTCAATAATCTTTTTGCGGTCGGGCATCGCAATATTATGCCTCTCTGCGGAAATCCGTTGTTGCATGCGGTTTGTGATGTCCACTTGAGATTTTTCTTTTTAATTCTTAGATACACTTGGCTCTAGGCGGCTCATCGTCCCGATTGTGAAAAAAGGTTTCTGGCCAACTGGGAAAAGCATACCTATAGTAGTGACATTTGGACCACGTAATAAGGATCGTTAGAGGTTTGTATGGTGATACCTGAATGATTCGTCAAAAAAATGGAGTTGTACTCAATGCTTTATCCATTCTGGAATGGAACGGTCTTATTTATGTCGAGATTTTAGGTTAATTTTGCGCCGTACATAAAGTACCTGAAAAAATTGAGATCTAGACACTGTGCTAGACTGCCTTGGACTTTGGATCCCAAGTGAAAACAGCCCATTTAGGAGTATGATCCTGGTTCCACTAAGGAAGCAACAAGCTGTGCAGCAAGCAAACCAATAATAGTGAGTAATAAACAATGTCCTACTGGTTTTTTTTCTGAAGAAAAGCAAAAGGCTGCTAGCTTGTTCTAAATTAACCACTATCATGGACGTACGGTTAGGTACAGGCAAGACCATATTAATCGCATGCATATGCAAGTGGCTAGTATGATCCATGATCAACATCATTTTTTTTCAATTGAAGATCATATTAATTACATGCCCTAATTAAGTAGCTAGCATTTGTCATGCGACGTAGTTTTCACAACATAATAAGTGATACAGTTACTTAACTATTTGGATCGACTCTTAAAAGATTTGCTAGTATATCTACTTATATCTATTTTTAGATTTGCTAAATAAATTAGGCAACTTAATGCGGGTTGTATATATTGTGTCAATGTCATGAACTTTTACTTATGTTTATTAGTACTACCTCATCAATTGCATGATATCATAGCCTTAGACTTCGTCTTATAGGATGGTAGTACTATTAATCATGCTTACTGAAGAGAAGATTATGAGTTACATGATGCCTTGTCAAGAGAAAAGGATTCTCCAACTGCAGCTGTTTTTATTTTTGGTTAAATACAGTACATGCATGGATCTAATAATGGGATAGTATACACACACATGAATTTGTTTTCTCAATGCAACTATATTTTTCTCGCATGAATTGGTTTTGGTGAAGTTACACTGTCATGCATGCAACTATTCAATGGGTGTTACTATATTTTTTTCGTCCTAAAATAAATACAATTGTGCAGCTATAATTTGCTTGTCCTACTTTGCACACATATAAAAACCTTTTCGCTTCAGTAGCTATACTAGTGAGCTAGAGAGGAACTCATTTTTTGTCCCTATGCTCTAATGACCATGACACAAACTTGATTGAGCCAATGTAACCACACTTTGCTCATTGTTGACATGTCTCTCCGGTGGTATCAGACCGCAAACCTCATAATTTGACTCTTTTCATTCCGCAAGTTCTATACATTTTTTTTTCGTTCTCGACCTTCAGTCAGTGGATTTCTGTGCCAGAGTGCCCCTCCAGATCAAAACAGTTGTTTAGTAAGTTTAGAGGCCTGAACTAATTGTTGAATATATTTGTACATGAATGACTGAAAATTCAACAATAGCGAGAGGCAGAGCGTATTTGGCCATAGTTTAAAATCTTAAAACATTTAAAAAAATTCTGCACAAATATGTTTGGCTATGAGCTTAAAGGGTTGTAATAGCATTTTTCCCTTTATTTTTACTTCGGTTGTTTGGATGAGATGGATCAGGTTAATTAATTGTATGAAGGCGTTCTTAATTAATATAATCATGTTTTAGCTTAGTCGAAACACTCTACTTATATATGACGAGCTCAATTCTAAGTGAACCACCAAACCAACGAAATATTAATTCTATACTCTACATCAAAATATATCGCCAGCTGGTAGCTCATTTGTTCACTACTGCCTAATCTCCTATCTACAACTATCTAGTTAGACAATTTGGAGATTGATTATAGGTCAACGACGTTTAGGTGTCAGATGGATAGGATTTCCCCCCAAAAGAACAAAAGGAAGTGCTTTCTGGTGCAACTACTAAGCTCTATTTGTTTTGTTTCACTTCAATCAACAAGGGGACAACTTATCTGCTGGATTTTAGCACGTATATATATGGCAGATTAATTATGTAGTAGTTGAGACAGTACGTCGTCAGCCAACCACAAATATATATTTTCTAGATAATAATTGTGTAAAATGCATACATTCATACCAAAAATGTACATATACTATTTCAAAAGAAAAAATAGCTTTAATTTGTACACTTAATTTTCTTGAAGTTTGACTTTAGTGTACTCGCTATTAAATACGCAACGGCAAATTTTCTTAAATCTGTAAATAAATAGCTAGGTAGGAGATAAGATACTGCAAAATGTTTTCATTTTATAAATTAGTCGGTCACGCTAATCAGCATGCTTCATACGGAGTACTACGTAATAAACAACGCGCCTCACAGTGCAACCCCTACCCGTGTTCGTCAGTTTTTCCATTTTTCACTCCCTATGGCAGGCACATGCTCCCTCCGACCCTAAATATTTAACACCGTTGAATTTTTAAAATATGTTTGACCGTCCATCTTATTCAAAAAATTTAAGTAATTATTAATTCTTTTCCTATCATTTGATTCATTGTTAAATTTACTACTAAC